GTGGGAAATGATAGCCATTTTCTATACTTTTGAGGCATAAGAAATTAGAAAAGAACACTGACTACCCAGGAACAAAAATCGTGTTACAGTGTTTTCGACTGTTGGGGGCCCGCAAGTGCTGTTAGCACCCATTCAGGGTCGGTATGGTGCATGATGGGACGGTTGGCATCCGCAGGAAGCCCGTCCGCCTTTGTCTCCCTAGTACTGATATTTACACACCAAAGTGTTTTCTTCAGTCCGAGTCGACCTAGGGGAAGCCCATGACCAGTTTTGACACCACTCGTCCATCGATGTCAGCCGTGGTCGGGAATCGAACTCAGATGGTAGCGCAGTGCGTCGATCACTCTGCCACTGTACCCCTGTATTGATAAAGACAAAGATCCCCCGTATATAGCCTTAACAGAATGTTGGGGCAAGTGCTGTTCGCGAGAACATATGAAGGCCGGCACGGCACACGAGGGGGTGGGTGGTCAGCACCCCATAGAGGTTTTTGGGTTAGATCGTGTAAACATCAATGTGTCGTAACCTTCCTTCACCCGACAGCCAGTAAGGTTTGTCACGTAAACAAGTTACTACTTCAGCACACCGGTGTTTTGGAGAGTAAATCCCACAACATTTACCCAGTGCCGATGTTTACACACCGCACCAGGTAATTATTTGAGGCTGAGTCGACTTAGTATAGAGGCAGATGCCACCCCAACCCACCACCACAGTAAGTAGTTAAAGCCATGGCAATGCCTCTCGCTCATCCTCCTGAACGATGCGTCCCTTTAAAAGGCAACGCAATAATACAACTCACTGCAGATAACAAAACTATTTCACGGCGCGGCCCGTGTCCGAATGGAAAGATATCTCCAGCTCAGGGCAATCGGTTGTGCCCAGGCCTGGAGATTTACATCCACCCACTGCTGACTTCAGTGTAAAAGTTACGGATCCACCGGGGTTGTTGAAAAAAAGACTGATAACAGCAGAAAAACCAGAACAGATATCGCGAGAGCACATACATGGACGCAACTGCTGTACAAGACTATGTCTACCGTATGACGACGAGTTCGAGACAATTATTGAAAACACAGAGGATGGTATCACCTGCGTCATTCTTAAATTCTCTGCCCAAGGACACACACACACAGCTCCACAAAAAGATGCAGTTTGGGTTCATAAAACATCACAACGCAACCGCTCCTCGAGACGCGTAAAAACCCGGAGCCTCTGGAAGCGTTGGGCACGAGCGAACATCGAGATCATTTATAGAAGAGGTGGACTCTGGGTTCATAGGTCAAGCGCCCTCCATCTCGGCCCACCCGCTCACCCCCCGCACTCGAGATGGTGAGCCACGGCTAGAGGCAGGGTAGCTGCGCTGGTGTGTCCCCTTGACTTCCTCATCGGTGTTTGTTAGGCGGCACCATCAGTGGAATGCAGGTGAATCGTCGTCACGCACCTGTGAACCTTCCTCGACATGTATCCACCGCGGCCACCGCAGCCCTCTGGGTTCGAGCTGTAGCCATTATAAAAATGTGTAGGGGTTGTTTTTGTTGTTGTTTAAACCCGGTGCGTTTACTTTCTTAAACGCGACATTTCATCATCTCGGAAGGAAATTGCCGCGACTGGATGGGAAGGGAGCAACCCTCTTTCCGCCAGAGATTGATCGATAGCCTTTACTCAACCGTGTGAGATCACACGGAGAATATCTCTCTTGCGGTGGTGACGGCTCGTTGTGCACACACCAGACAGTTATTTTTTGGTAATTAAAAAAAACACAACGTTGCGCCTTATTGATACGCATATGCCTTATCGACAATGGCAGCAGCTCATGATTTCTGGAGTGTTGGCGCCGTCGTTAGCAGCACACCGCTGTGAACGCGACGACATGAGTTTAGATGTCAGTCCATGGATGGACATCAGTGCCGGTTAAGTGCGGGTTGCCTTCACCAACTCACGCTTGACCAACGTGGCGGCGTCTGGTCAAACGAGTCCCGTCGACCCGCACGGCGCAGAGGAGGGCCCTCGTCCAGCAGCGGGCTGACAACGAGGGACTGCACCGCATGCCCACGTGATAGTGGGGTATATATCAACAGTGATGTATTCATTACCAACGCGCCGCCGCTATTCGTGTGTACAGAGCGCCGGGAGCGCTGTCACTGCGCTCTGTGCAGATCGGAGCCGGTCCCCTGTGATGGCTGTTGGCGCGGCGCGGCGTTCGGGAAATGATTAAATTACAAAAGCTCGCATTTTTAGGAGGAGACAAAACCCGCGCTCTCAAAGGACCGGGAGCTTTCCAGCGCTTCGCAGCGCTCGCCGGCTGCTTTACATCTGGCGTTGTCGCTGGAGCTGTTAATAATCACCTGGGCGGCTGACAGCAGACGGTGAGGCCGAGCAGGAGCTGATTTAACAAGAACTTCACCCGGAATAGAGCACCCCCCCCCCCTCACCCTGCCCCCTTTGCTTTGGGGTTTTCCACAATTGCCCCCCCCCCCCGCCTCTCCAATTGTGCAATCAGCGCCGCGCCACGAGAGCCCCGTGCCCCGCGTCAGAACGACGGCGGCGCCGTGGAAGGAGATATAACGGAACTACTTCTGAGAGCCCTTTGAGTACGCTTGTACGTGTTTGTGATTGAGGGGGCTAAACGGGCGCGGCACGGGCTAGAGATGAGATGGAGTGATGTGGTACAGGAGGACGTGGAGCTGAGTGGACTTGCCGATGACCGGTACAAGCGGTGTCAAGATTGGCCTCTGTGGAGGAGGCTCGTGAAGGATGCTACTGGGCAGTTGGAGGCAGTCGCCCTCCAACAACAACGGAGGGCGGAGGAGCGACGCTCACAACAACGAGCGGAGCGCCGGGTGGCTAAAGCACAGCAGGTTGGCACAGTAGGGGGCACAGGTGGTGCATCAGTCAGTCATCTCAGTCAGTCGACCCGTGGCACCTGGGTCTGCCCCGTGACCTCCTGCCAGCGGGCGTTCGACACTTCACGTGGCCTCAGGGTGCACATAGCCTGGCACAAGCGTCGTGGTGACGTCACCGCCACTTAGTGGTGAATGGCGGTTGTTGTTGTTGTTGAACCTCTTTCGTACCGTACGTAGCCAGCCGTGCTAGTCGGTGACGCATTGTGAAACATGAGCGGCTGTAGAGGCATTGTTTGTCGTTGTGTGGCAGTGAAACAAGAGTGTGTAATTCGTGGACTTTCGCCAAAAATTAAGTGGGAAAAAAACTCAACATTTATAACGATTTTTTGTTGTTGTTGCAATCATTGATGATTGGGGCTACATTTGAGAAACTGATTTACCCACGAGTGACTGACAAAATGACGGCAATTGTTACATCAGCAAGTTTGTTTTTGTTCTAATCCAATAATCAGTCAAAAAGATAACACATCAAGCGTGCCTATAGTTGATATAAAAGAGGTACACGGACACTGCACTCTCTTGGGGGGGGAGGGGCGGGGGGTGGTTGGCGCACTGCGCCATGAACCAGATTCCCGAGCACATCTAATGTCATCGGACAGTGGCATCTGGATTGTCCCTTGCCCCCACCCCTTAAATGACCCACAATTGCCCGGCGTGTGTTAGAGTATGGTCAGACAACCCCCCATAACCGACACAGCATTGGGTGGTCTTCAATCCAGCAGTGTATTAACCAAGGGCTGCGAGTGAACATGGATCGCTCAGCACACGGATGGATGGACAGAGAATGAACGAACGACAAGTGTGATGGCCAGGTGAGAGAGCCCTTTGTGATGGCCAGGTGAGAGAGCCCTTTGTGATGGCCAGGTGAGAGAGCCATTTGTGTGGGCGAGATTCGGGGTTTGGCTCGAGGGGAGTAACCACGACGGCTCTTTGTGTGTCGTGGGTGGGAGCAGCTGTTTGTGGAGAGGAGCATTGTCAGAGACGGGATAGTATAGGTGACCTCGCAGCACCAACCCGAGCCGGTCCTGACCAGCAGTGACTGACAGAAAGAAGGGGCGGCGGCGGCGGCGGTGTTGGTGGAGGTGGAGGAGGGTGGTGGCCGGCTGGAACGGCGTTGGGAGAGGGGCATTGGCAGGGTAGGAGGCTGGTGTGGGCACAGGTTCTCACACCACGTGCCCAATCGCTACATCGCAGTGGCAGAGCTGCCCCCGCGAGTGGCAGCAGCATGATCTTGTTCTAAACGGGTGAGTGGTGGAGTGGTCTCGGAAGGCCGGTGACTTTTTTCCCAGCACGTGGTCCAGCGTTGAGCGTCAACTCGCGCGCGCGTGGGCAGCGGTTAGCTGCGAACCTCGGCGACCTGAGTTCGATTACCCGTTCACGGCCAACACCCAGTGACCGATATCTGAACCGGTCCTGGGCCTCCTGGGTGTGGTGTGTAAACATCACCGCTGAGGAGACAAACAGGGCCTCGGCGTGGTGTAATTCACTCCCAGCACCCTACCCCCTCCTCGTGTGCCGTGGCGGTCTTCATAGGCACTTGCCAACAGCACTTTCCCTAACAGTCTGTTGAAGGCTATATGGTGGAACCTTTTGCTATGTGCCTGCAATAATAATCAACGGGATGATTTTCAGGACACCGCCGGATGAAGGATGAAGGGATCGCCACGCCATATCGGCTGATCGGGGGAGAAGCGGAGGGTTTGTTTACGGCCATACTTCACCGTGCTGGTCAGTGCGCTGTGCTAAGCGTGGGGAAGGCGGGGGCGAGGTGGGTGGGTAAAGAGCTGCGGGATGAGGGGCAGTGCTCCATTTATTAGCGACCTAATAGTATTCCAATAATTGTTATTAAAAAACACATTTATTACATAACCTGTAATAGATTCGTTCCGAGTGTGAGTGTCCGTATCTGTAAGGGGAGAGTGGGAGGTGTAGTGGGAGGTGTGGAGGAGTAGTGGGGGGGGGGGGGGTCTTGTTCTGAAGTCCTGGGGGGGGGGGGGCGGGGGGCATCGAGAGCCCTGAGTGTGTCCGTGTGTGGAGGCAGGTGGAGGCAGGTGGAGGCGGGTGGAGGTGGGTGGAGGTGGGTGGAGGCGCCCTCACCTGTCTGTTGGCGTCCAGCAGGTGCAGGCGCATGTGCTTCATGTAGGTGGTCGTGAGCGGCAGGTTGTAATCGATGTCGTTCGAGAGAAGGGCGGGCGGGTGCTCGTTTTCTGGTGAAGTTGTGGACGTCGTTGTGTTCAATGTGGTTACGGTGTTTTTTTTGTTTGGGGGGGGGGGGGTGGTGGAGAAAAGAAGCCAAAAAGAAGAGAATAATTCATACAGGGACGTGGAGTTATCGCGTTGTATAATAATCATCACCGCGGTTTCAATTTGCACACGGTATTCGCTCGTTCTCGTAGCTCAGATGCCCGAGAGTGAAGGCAGCAGCCAGGCTGTTGAGCTGCCACCAACAATCGCCCAAGCTCCGCGATCCTCTCTATATTAAGTTGTTTTCTCCGGATGCTCCCGTGACGGCGTTGTGTGCTGTGGGCATTACAGCGTCGCGATGACGAGAAGAGTCGTGGCAGGCTGGTGTCGAAATGCAGATGAAGAACTTTTAATGAATTTTCTGTTCGTAGGGGAGGTTCAGCGGAGCACAATAAACAATGCGATACAGGTGTGAAATACAAATTACAAAGTCATGGGAACATCGTATTCGAGGTTATGATTCCCCTTATTTACCCGGGAGAGCCTTAACGGGTGTCAAAACCCTTGTTCATGAGGAGAGTCCTGCCAAGTGGTTTGCAGTAATGGGAGATGAATTCTGTGTTTCCCAAATAAGTAATTGGTCTTTTTTTATTTATTTGGCAAACTTAGAGCTTAATGCCTACACACAATGGGCCACTCTTCTTCAAATGACATCACGAAATATTCAGCGTTCACTGTGGAGTGGACGGCACCGAGTATTCGATGGTTAAAGCACACATCGCAGTATTACCCAGGGCGTCCTGTCGGAATCAAACCGTGGTCCTGTGCAACAGGCGGCAAAACGCGCTACCGCCGGGCCACGTCACCGCCACGACAATCGTTACATCGTGAAGTCTGACATCACGGCGACCTCCAGAGGAGATGCGGGGTGGCCTGGTGAGTGGTGGCGTAGGGCGGCGAGCGGTGGCGTAGGGTGGTGCTGGGATGGCGAGTGGTGGTGTGGGGTGGTGCTGGGATGGCGAGTGGTGGTGCTGGGTGGTGAGTGGTGGTGTGGGGTGACGCTGGATGGTGCTGGGATGGCGAGTGGTGGTATGGGGTGGTGCTGGGTGGTGCTGGGATGGCGAGTGATGGCGTGGGGTGGTGCTGGGTGATGCTGGGATGGCGAGTAGTGGTGTGGGGTGATGCTGGGATGGCGAGTGGTGGCGTGGGGTGGTGCTGGGTGGTGTTGGGATGGCGAGTGGTGGTGTGGGGTGGTGCTGGGATGGCGAGTGGTGGCGTGGGATGGTGTTGGGATGGCGAGTGGTGGTGTGGGGTGGTGCTGGGTGATGCTGGGATGGCGCGTGGTGGCCTGAGGTGGTGCTGAGTGGTGCTGGGATGGCGAGTGGTGGTGTGGGGTGGTGTTGGGATGGCGAGTGGTGGCGTGGGATGGTGCTGGGTGGTGAGCGGTGGCGTGGGGTGACGCTGGGTGGTGAGTGGTGGCGTGGGATGGTGCTGGGTGGTGAGCGGTGGCGTGGGTTACGCTGGGTGGTGCTGGGATGGCGAGTGGTGGCGTGGGGTGGTGCTGGGTGGTGCTGGGTGACGCTGGGTGGTGCTGGGATGGCGAGTGGTGGCGTGGGGTGGCGCTGGGATGGCGAGTGGTGGCGGGGGGTGGTGCTGGGTGGCGTTGGGATGGCAAGAGGTGGCGGGGGTGGTGCTGGGATGGCGAGTGGTGGTGTGGGATGGTGCTGGGTGGTGCTGGGTGACGCTGGGTGGTGCTGGGATGGCGAGTGGTGGCGTGGGGTGACGCTGGGCGGTGGTTCGGTGACGGGGGGTGGCGCTGGGTGGCTCGGTGAGCGGTGGTGCGGGGTGACGAGCGGTGGCATGGTGTGGCGCTGGGTGGCCCAGGGGTGGCGCGCGGGTTGCGAGCGGGATACTTGGGGCTCACCCTTGTGCTCGGCAGCGCGGGGACTGAGATGCATTCGCTTCTGGCACTCGGTGCAGCTCATCAGGAACTTGGTGACGGCTTCCCGTGGGAGGAACGCGTACGTCTCCGAGATCTTAACGACGATGGCGATGGCGGCGCCGAGGCAGAGGCGAACAGACGGACGGATTGACCGATTGACGGACGGGCACAAAAGGAAGAGCAGGCCAACAGACACGCAGACGCGCGCACACGCACAGACGGGGACACACGAACAAAGACGAACGAGTAGATAAGGGACGGGCGGAGACATGGATGGAGAAGTGGACAGGTAGACACACAGAGTAAGGCAGGGGTTGAAATAAACCAATTGGGCTGCTAGACCAAGTCATTTGGAAATAAACTATAAAAAAACACAAGCTATTTTATTTTACCAGATAAAGCCCACTGAGTTTAATACGTAGGCTTTTGCGACCGGTATTCTAATTGGCGTTTTGTTAACGTGACACATTCTTTACTGATTGGCCGTGACGGGTGGTGAAGGGTTGCGACACATTTATACTTACGCGATCGAACCCAAAAACGTTTATTATTAATAAAGCCCACGGAGCTATGTAGCTCTTTTTCAGAAGCGACCTGGCCACCAATGATAGGCCAACCAAGAGGCTGATCACGCGGAAAATTATAGCAGCAGCCAAATACTGTAAACGCTTGATGTTGACTCTAAACGTGGAGGGAAAAACCGGTGGACCTCGATAAAAATCCACGCGACTACAGGGAGAGAGACATGCAAACTCCAATTATACTGGTGTCAGGAATATTATACAGTGATTGCAGAGATCTGATTCAGCTAGCGCCATTGGCATTGAGTTGGTGGCCACTGCGAGATGGCTCGTGAAGTTTACCATAAATGTGTAAATGAAAAAAAAATGTGCACAATTATAATTGTTGCGATGATGACAATTTCTAAAGGAACACAATTCGTACGTGCAGGGGCGTAGTCGTGTGGATGGCATGAGGCCTGGTTAGAAATTAAACGTGGGTGGGCAGGGTGGGGGGGGGGTGCCCTGTCCAATTGCTCTTCTCATGACCCGGTGACTAAGGGGCCTCTCCTAGCCGTAGTTCCCAGTACAGGGGCACCGCCTGTGGAGTCAACTTCTCCGCCACCGTGGTCGTCCGCACCACAGCATCTACTCCTCTACAGCAAGGTGCAAAAGCACCCACAATGCGCTTCATCTTGTCAGGTCTTGGAGGCTAAGCAGCCTCTAAACATGGTTCGTACTTGGATGAAGGAATCCCTGGCTGGGGGGGGGGGTACCAGGCTTGGCCTGCGAAGTGGCCAGGCGATGGCAGTGCACCAGTGGATTTTTGAATCTGTGTGGAGCTCAGAGTGCGCGGGGTTTCTCCGGGTTCTTTGGTTGTCATCCCACGCGAAGTCAAGCAATCACAAGTGGAATTGGCCATATATCCTATTGCAGAATCTTCCTTAAAGCAAGAGTCCTGAGAATCAATTAGTTTCACCTCGAGTAATGAAAGCCCGTTATTATTACACGCACACACACACAGTCTCAAATTAATTAAAGTGGACATTTTAAAGATATATATATACAAATACTGGCTACTTAATTTGCACATGCAATAGTAATAATCAATTTGTCCAACATTTTAATTATTCAATGTATAAAGTCCCCCGCCGCGTCTGTTTTCGAGACAGTGTGGTAGGAATGTGGCTTGTCAGGCGCAGTCAATCTGGGATTTGCATTGAACTGCCCATATAGGACTCACCACTGTGATCTCTACATTGGGTCAAACTTAACATCTCTTAATGTTCGACGGCTTGTGCACCAGATCTTATTTATTCACGATGTACTTACAAAAAAATCCGCAGACTACCTACTGGATCTCCTCTCTGTTTCAAAGAACAAATTTGACCTCAGGTCTTCGCTCATTTACCAGCTTCACATTTCCTATTGCCGTACAAAAACCGGAGGAAGGGCCTTTGCTATTGATGTCCCCAGGGTCTGGAATGCTATCACCAATAAACTGCAACTTGAATCACTACCTATGAGATCTTCACTCAAAACTGCTCTAGAGGAGTTGTACACCCCTAGCTGCGACTGCTATTCAGTGGCCTAAAATATGGCTCTAGATTTTGGTGTTATAATTTATTTATGTAGTTTATTGTTAAAAATTCGGTCACAGTCCCTATGATCACTGTTACATTGCATTTATGGCTTTTATTTTGGTGATTTCGAAAACGTTTTTTTGTTTTGGCCATGTTTTTGTTTATTGTAGTACGGAGTTAGACTGATGGCCTTAATCTTATTTGTCTTGCGGTTGTTGTTGTTGTTGTATGACTTGCATCCCACTGGGATTTTTGCACACAGCGTTGGTGTACGGTGCTATTTCAGGAATATTTTGATGTTTTTTTCCTGGATTTTCTGTTTGCACAGTCACATAATCACTTTAAGATGTTTTCTTGTTCATGTTTTTGTTTGTTGCGGTTGCACCCGATTCAAGAGCCGAATGGCTCACAGGGCTATAGCAAATAAATAAAACTATGGAACTAAATGAACTATGGGAGGCGGCCGGGTGACTCAGAGGTCAGAGGTCAGAGCGCTGAGCTGGCACAGCCGAGACCCTGTGTTCACATCCAAGCAGTCGGCCGTGATTAAACTGGGTTCCCAAGTGCGCTTCATTTGGCAATAACTCTAGCTCTGAGAAGTAATATATCGGTTGTAAATGTGATGCCACGAACCTCACTCTGATATACAGAGTGAGCGGGAAAGTGCTTGCCCCTACTCTGCGTGGACCGGACATCACTTTAAGGCATTTCAGAGGTGGCCCTATGATAACCACTTCCGTGGACCGTGCTGCAAAACGAAGGGGCCGCACCGCTCTGGGGCAAATGACGTGGCGCTGAAATTGGGAGAAAATAACCAAAAGATATATTTTTTTTACGTAAAAAAGTAAATGTCTGTGCCGTGAGCACAAACGACCGTTGCGTTGGGCCCTTCGGGTCAGACACCGCCCCGACTGGACTTCTGTGATAGAGAGCTTCATCGCTCATCGGATTCCTCGTCCGGGATAAATAAATATTCTGACTCTGAGACGCGGGTGGTGGAGGGGCCCACCCAGCGGAGGGGCCCACCCAGCGACGCGGGGCTGCCCTGCCCAGAAGCCGTTATTAACGACCCATCGCTGCGTTCACATTTCCCGCGGACCTTTTAAACCAAAGACCTCAATCCCTTTTCCAGTCCGTCGCGGCGTGTTTTCGTTTCTGAGTAAACCGTGGCACGGAATGCCGGGAGGGCTGCGGAGGGTGAAGCCCTCTGTCTTCGTGCCAGACACACACGGCATCCCATAACGCTGTACATTAATTATATAATACGACCAAATCCTAAAAACAGCCACTACCGAGCAAATGAAAACCCGACTACCAAGCAAAATAAAAAACGAATAAACTAATTAAAAAAAAGTTATCAGCCAGATTGAAATGAGTCCATGAAGTCTGCTGCACACCTCAGACCAACAATCAACAACTTCCCAACCAAGTCGGGAAACCTTGACACGAGGTGCAGTGGTGGAGTGGCCAGAAAGTTACGACTCGGACCAATCGGTCAAATGTCCAAAATGTGCGAACTCGATTATTCAATATACGCAGGTTCACAATTTCAATCGTCACCCCGAACCTCATAAAAAATATAATGATGATGAGTCAAATAAGTGAAAGCCCTTTGTAAATCCACTGCTGGATCAAGGTATCCGCATGCCGTGCCGGTCATATGGGTCGTTTCACCATACTTCACAAAATGCATCAATAGCACCGTGGCCCGAAAGAGAAACGTATAAAAGAGCACGGACATAGAGCGGTCAGAGAGCTATACTTCACCGCACCAGTCAGTGCAAGCCACTGCAACGAGAAGGGGCCTTGACGGGTTCAGATATCGTTCGCCACCCACGGGGGCCGGGATCAGCGATCAATCTCGCGTGGCTGGATTCGAAACGCAGTGGGTTTCCCACTGCACCACAGCTACCCTTCCTTGACCTCATTACCTTAATTCAATTAACAAGTGGTTGAGTGGTGATTCCCGTAATTACCCAATTAAAGTGGGCTTCAAATGAGCCAAATACTGGGTTCATGGACCTTGTTTTTTTATCTTGTATTTGTTGTTGTTGTTGTTGTTTTACCAATCTCCCCAAATGCAGCCACGCGCCACTGAGTGGAATGCCGCGTTCAGGACTCTGAAGGCAGCTGGCGGGTCGTGGATGACGATGACGACGATGATGATGGCGAGGCATTAGGGCATGGAACGCCAACGAGCCTCCAAACACCACATTGTGGAATTTCTCTCTGTAGAGAGTTTTTTGTTGTTGTTTGTTAAACCTCCGTGTTCTCAGGGATGGCGTTCGCACCGGCGTATTTTTCCAGGACGCACCTCGCTGACCTCTCCTCCACTTGCGTCCCCCAGGAGCCACCCCCCCCCCTCCCTCCATGGCTGCACTCAAACAAATACCGCCCTCGTCACACTGCACCGAGCCCAGCAACGCACCTCCTCCCCAACACAGCCGTCATCAACTACAGCCTGCACCGCTCTGCTCCACTCACGCTGTGCCCGACGTTGCCCGTAGGCCTCTGTGTGGTGGCAGAGCGATCGTGTGAGCGCTGCTAGCAGGGCCCACGAGCCGGAGGACACCGCACGTCTGGGCTGCGTAGAGGAGGGGGCAGAAATCGCGCTACCAGGCACCGGGGCTTAATTTCAGCCTTGGACTGGCCGGGTCGGTGACCTGAAAAATATTGCCGCACCCGGCATGCCACATCTAGTACACCTCCTCTAGCTATGGCTGTGGGTACTACGAGTCAACGTGCCTCCCCGCATCCAGTCTATCGGCGGCCCTGAACACGCTCAGGAAGTAGTGAAACCCTGCTACTGCCACGTGGAGCTATCTGAATATGGCGGGCGGTCTCACGCTCTGTCTGCCCGCCCCCCCTCCCCCCCTTTGACAGTGAGTGTCTCAGTTGTATTACTCCTGGTTATTATATTTGCCCACTTTTTGCCCATCAACCAACCAAATCCACCATCAACACCATGTAATTGTCTCTGTTGCTGTTAATTGTCGCGTCCGTGTGTATAT